TTCTTCATCTAGCCCGACATCCACTTCCTCAGTGTTGCCTTAGCCTGCAAAGATCAAAATGAAAGATGATTAGTTATTAATTACAAAAACATCATAAAGAGAGTAAAAGAGAAGAAGAAGTCAATGAGATATACCTATTAGAAGAAGCTGGTTCTTCTGATAGATCGCCTCCTTATAGTTTTCAAGCTCTTCCTTCTTCAGGTAAGAATTGAAGAAAAGCTACCCAAAAAGGCGATCATGGGCCTCTTTGATGTCTTCTTTATATTTCTTCAACCACTTGGCCTTCCACCATGCCACAGGCTTATGGGTGATTTTGCTTATCATCTCCAGACTATGCCGAGCCACTCGAAACGCCACCTCCGAAGGGGAACGAATCAGGTAGGAAGTTCCACAGTGCATGGAATCAAAGAATGGCACTAGGATCGCCTGCCTGAAGCCTAGCTGTCTACCGTAGAAGTTTGGGTGGTAAATTTCTAGCCCGCGTTCATAGCCCGTGTGGTCGCTTCGCACTCCCCAAGCAAGGTCCCATTGTTGGATGCAGCTTATAAACTTCTCATTGCAGAGGTTGTTGGCATCTTCCCCGAAGGTATCTTGGAAGATCTGGTCCAAAAACCATAAATATCTTCGCAGCACGGAGGCACCCCACTCCGAGTCTGCCCGAGTTCGACAAACTGTGAAGAAATACAAGTAGGTGAGAGTGGAATGGTTGGTAAGGGACACCTCGACCAAGATGTGAGCTGGAGTCACTCATCCAAGGAACTCCATGTTGGGTGCCCAAAACTCTGGGAAGTACCACTGAAGCCACAATTAGACCATCCAGGTTGGCCCTTGAGATTGGTCTTAAAAGGTTCGCTTCTAGTCATTCCATATAGAAGGCACTGTTCTAAAAATCCCCGCGTAGGCGTTAGGCGGTTGGCCACTGCCTCGATTAATGCTTAAGCGTTTGAAAATTAAGAAAGGGCACCTAGACTTACTGAGGCCTTCGCCTAGACTGCCTAGGTTGCGACTCACTTAGACAAAAAATAGATAACTTTCATTTTGCATTTTATTTATTTTTCAATAAATTGTAAGGGATACACATTATGTGCATGTTCCCCACATTTTCATTATGTTCCAATACTTCCTAATACATATGTGATTCTATTTTGTAGTTTATAATGAAATTATACATATTTTAAGTATAAACAGACATTTATTTACACGAAATATAATAGATTTACTTATATCTGCCTAGTTTACTTAGGTGCCCGCCTAGGCGCTAGGCCCCAGCTCGCTGCTCGACTAGCGGCTAGCGTCTTTTAGAACCTTAACAGAAGGTGGTAGCGATGTGCAATGAGGAAATACCCCGTGGCCACATCATCGAAGGAATAGAGGGCCTTTACCAAGGGGATCCACTCCAATTTCACTCATTTGGAATTGTTGGGAAACACGTGCTTGTTGAGCCAGTACAAGAGGAAATACATCTGCTCCTGGTCTCTGTCTGTAGTAGAGGAGGGTAGGCTGAATGTTTTCTTTGCGAAGGGAATGAAGCCCGCAAAGGATGTCCCATAGCTTTTGAAGTTTGAGGGAGTATTCTCTAGGTGGGTGATGGACTCAGAGGCACCCGAGGCTTCAATGGTCAGGCAAGAAGATGAAAACCAGTCGTGGGTGAAGTCCAAGCACCGGCTCGAGGGCCTTAGCCCGAAGACTTAAGCCATATCCAGGATAGTTGGAGACATGAGACCCATTTGAAAGTCGAATATGTTGATCCATTGTTCCAAAAGAGAAAAAATTATGGTCAGGAGCTCGGGCTTGGCTATCACCGTGACCTTAGAAAGCATAATAAGCTCGTAGAAGCCATTGTTCATCCACTTTTTCTTCTAAATGGGCTCGAGCTCGTCTACCCACTGTGACTAAGCCTCATCCTTCATTAGTGGGAAGCCTCTGCGATGATTGGACAATTTTTAAGCCGAGATACCAGACTCGGCAGAGTAAGGATTGGGAGTGAACCAGTTGGCTGAGGGCATGTTGGTCTCCATCGCAATCGGCACTCAGGCTATTCAGGTTGGTCTTAGAAAATGGACACCATATTCCTCGAAGAAAATTAAGAAGTGCAGGCCTGCTCGAGAACGATAAAGGTCGTTGAGTTTACGATGCATAGTGTTGATCCCTTCACCAGACTCACATGCAGGACGACTTTTGGGTGCCATGGTTAGTTTTGGGTATGGATTGAGAAAAATCGAGAGTTGAAAGCAAAGAAAAGCTGCGAAGGCAAGAGAATTCTGGAAAATCTGGGAATTTTGAAAGCTCGAAGAATAAGAATTGCTAAAGGTATTTGGCCGAGAGGTTTAAATGGAAGTTATATAGTAGGTAGTTAGTTAACATTGCAAATCGTGGGTTAGTGCAAATGTTTATTAAAAAAAAGGTTTTTTAAATGGTGCAAGTCCCGAGGTAAAGCGTGTGGCTGGTGTTTAATCCTTATTAATGTGTCGATTGGCAAACTTAACAATGATTAAAGCCGGCACTGATTGGGTTAATATTTAAACATTGGGCTTAAGTATTTGGGCAAGCCCAAAGGCGCCAAAACAAGTCGAACTTGCTCGAAGCCCAGCCATGAAGCCTGATTCAAGCTGAAGTCTTCTTAGCTAAGGTGTATGCCATGTACTTATGAACTAAGTGACAAATGGCAGATACAAATTCACTATTAGCCAAAAAGCACTTTTTAGTGGCATTACAAGTAATTACAAGATGACTCACTACCTTTGAGGACTTTCGACCAAGAACAAAACCAAAACAGTTGGGCCAAACTACCTATAAAAAGAGAAAGAGACAATAGAGATAAGGACACTCAACCAATCAAACAAACAACATACAAAATCTGCTCTCAAGCCAGATTCGCACCCAGAAAAGTCGAAACTCGCCCAGATTTAATCCTTTTAGTAATAGTTCCCTTAGAAAAGCTATCTTTTGTCTAGTGTAAAAGCTCTGCTACCTTCCTTTAGTGTTGTAGTATCGATTTCCTCATGTAAAACCTGTTTACCATACATCCCTTTTAGCTTACAACTTTTGTAAACTCAAAGAGAAGTGGTTGCAAGAAGTTCAACCTTGCTCGACAAGGTGAAATCTTGCCCAAGTTTCTTTGTTCGTCCTTTAAATTAGTAAATATGTCGCTTAAATGTACTTTTTAGCATATATTCAAGTTATTTCCAATTGTTTTCTAACTAAATGTCCCATTTACATTTGAAGATGGTTAACTTGATAAGCCTATCTTCATTAAGAACAAATTGTGTTTAAAGAAATGGTTTGAAGGGCTCTGGACTCCCTTTTTTTGGATATACAAGATTATGAACTAAAAGTCCTTGTTTACAAGGCAAGAAAAAGAACTTAATGCGGACTTAACCTATTCGGGACAATCCTTTGATAACAAGAAGTCTAAGTAACTTGGGGCGTAAGTAATTGACTTAAATCACATCTATCTAACATCAGTTATACTGAGATAACAGTGGCACGCCAAGATCCCTGTTAGTTTTGATTATGAGCCTTAAGGCCTACACCTAAGTCCCCACAAAGACACATTTCAAAACTAACTTCAAACTTTTCTTGCAGAACACCAAGCAGTGAGAACTTGACCAACAACCAACAACCAACACCAAGTGCCAACACCCCAGGGGAGCTGTGCTAGAGGGGAAATCCTTTGCCTCGAACAAAAATCTTAACAATGTTAACTTTCAGTTCATTTTCTCAATAACCAAACACTAAAACAACCTCCAACCATCACGCACCTTTGGACGTCGTCGAGTCATAAGAGAACACCCAAACACAATTCTTAACTGCGGCAACAAGCTCGTCGATCGAGTGCGTGGCCAGGGACCAAGAGATAGCTTCGACTGTCGATGAGGGATTGCCAGAAAGCTCGAATACCGGCTGAAAAATAGGTCCGATGAGGGTTTCAGTGTCGGAGAGTGGGGAGAGGAATTAGGAGAGCACTAGTAGGGAGGAGGCTCTGTAAGCGACCCAGTCCAGAAAGTCGGGTAGCCAGTCGATGGTGGATCCCAGAGGGTCGGATAGGGTCGGGGTGGGAGGCATCGGGTCAGATTTGAGGATTTGAGAGGGAGGTGATGGGTAAGGTCCATGGCGGTGGTAGGGGTTGGGGAGGCGGAGGGTGTGTCTAAGTCCGGCATTAGGTTTTTAGGGTCCGATGAATGAGTGGGCGAGTGAAAATAGAAAGAAAAGGGAAGAAGGAAGAGAGCAGACGTTGATTGTGGCGCGAAAGTAACGACGTCATGCAAGCGAAAACTGATAGTTGAAAATTTGCAATTTGCAACAACATTTCAACTAGGCAAAATTACTAAAATGGCCTTCGTGTCCAATTCGAATCCAACTTAAAGTATATTGAAAAATGTATCAAATTCAAATATTCATTCATAAAATTAAAAAGAAAACGTTATTTTCCCTGAAAGCATCACTTTTCATCCGATTTGCATGGGTTAAGCATGACAATAGTGCTCATACTAACGTTGTTACCCATTACATTCAAATGGGTAAGGTTGAATCATGTCATTTTTTCTTGAAGTTTTCCAATTACTGATTAGCTTACTCTAAACCCTAAGCTCTAAAACTTCATACGAGGTTTTATTTTTGTATATACCAAGGATTTAATTAGTTTACCTCTAGAAATTACTTTTTCTTTGATTCCATCCATGTTCCTCATTTGCTCCTTTGAGGACTTTGATTGGAAATTTGAGTACCAAAATGTATTTCCAGTCTTCCATGCCCATCTTACTTTGAAAATGTGTGGAAAAAGCCATCAACTTAACAGATTGGCATATTGTTAGGCAAATGCAGTTTTCAGTCTCATGTTTGTACATTCTTTTCCAATAGAACCAATATCAACAAGCTGTTTTTAGTCAACAAATTGGTTAACACCAAGAAAATGGAATCCCATTGAATACTACTGTTCTTGTTAAGCACTCAATTTCCCCAACAGGAAGTCTTGAGTTCAATTTTCCTTGCAATCAAAGTTCTAAAATTGGTTCTCCTCTCCACATTATTGGTTGTACATAAAAATAAAGGGCTTTACATATTATACAGGCATAATTGCATATACATATATATTTCACAAACTTCTCTATTGTCGACGCCCCTTAGTACCTGATTTTCACTACACCGGACATTTTCTATGCTATCAATCAAGTTTGTCAGTTCATATGCGTTCTTGCCGCCGTTCATCCCTGGGCTCTAAATCCCATACAGTATCCTCTTGCACTTGGGAACTTTCACCGAACATTGGGTCATGCATGTCGGAGAACAAATCAAGGGAATGAACATTGTTCATAAGAATGCCCAGCAACTGGTCTCTGTGTTGTTGCAACTCCAAGACTTGAGATTTTATTGTTTGCAATTGGGATCTGAGTTCTTCAATCATCTTCTGCAAATGAAAAATAGCTGCAGTGCTGCCATAGACGGGATCTCTAATTCTTGCTGTTGCTTCGTAAACTATGGATTTTACTGCATCTTCCCTTCTTGTCTCTTCCACCATCTATCACAAAAAAGATTAAAAAATGAACACATCTTTTGACTATTTAGTTCGTGCAAACAATTGTCATCCATGAAATTTGAGCTTCCTCGACCAAAGAAAGTAGAGACTCGGTGCTACTAGACCAAATGCAGATAATCATAATTAGATACCATAAAAGTACACGAGCAAGCTCTACTGACCTGAATCATCTTGATAACATTGCTAGCACCAAAAACTCTATGGACACCAGCAAACTTGTCAATCTCCTCAATTGGGAAATATGGTGCAAGTGAGCAGTTGATGTCACATCTTCGGCGTAGCATCCGGCAGGCTGCACACGGTTGATGAACCCTAGCGTGCATTGGCGTTATTCGGGCGTCCATTTTTCGGTAGTTCAATCGATCTGTATGTTCATTTGAAGCTGTCCCAGTTTGTGTATATATAGAGAGAAGAGAGCTTAACAGTTCAACAAGATATTGACAGGAACGTAACAGGTTGTTTGTTGGGTGCAAAAATTCAAAGGTTACATGAAGACAGTTTAAGATAATCATGGTTGAAAATTGTGACACCTCACTGTTGGGACAGTGGACCTAACAGTGAACCCATACGTTACTTGTCGGAAAATGATAATCACACACTATTTTTCACTTTCTACATATCTCTTTTATTTCTGATCGTGCAGTTAAATAGATCAAATTAAAGCAACGAAGATGATTAAACAAGGGCAAGTAGAGAGAGAAAAATAGTTTGTGATTATCATTTCTCTATTTTTTATTTCATTAAGAAAAATCATGTTTGGTAATACTCAACTTTTTTTTTCCTAACCAGTTTTCCCACCAGATTTTTTTTAATTAAGTTCTGGAAGCACGCCAAATACTGCAGCATTCTTGAAGAAAATTATGTTTACATTTTAAGGGTCATAACTAAATACTCTTAAGAATCAATTTCCATGTCTTTTTGGACTACGGTTAGACTACAACCACACAAGAAAGTTCCTTGAAATTGGACATTTGGACCTTCAACTAGTCCATTTAGTTCTGGTATTCACCTAAAAGCCAACCCTACCTTGTCGAGAGACTCTGGCATATAACTGGAGATATATCTGTGTTCCTATAGCACTCATTACGTGACAAGTGGGATTTTATCTCCAATGACACCCGAGTTTTTCTCGAGTCTTGAGTCTTGAGCAGTGGGAACTCACACGTAGTGACAAATTCAACCATGATAGTAAGAAAGGAATAATCTGTAACTTAAATGAAATTCTCCTACTTTATTTGCAGCAGAGGAAACAATAACGAAAAACAGCACAACAAAAAGGTGCAAACGCATGACACAAATAATACTCACAATTAAAGAAGCATCCAGGAAACAAAGTGAATCAGCAAAAGAAATACAACTGAAAAGCAAGTGGAAATTGAATAGCTTAACTATTCTAACACAGCGATATCTACAAAAATTGCAGCAAGGGAAGCAAGAGCCGGGGAAGAGATGTGTTCTCGGTCAAGTTTTGTATCCAAATCCAGACTGCCTCTTCGATCCTTCCTCCTTCGTCCTTTGGGAGTTGGAATGGAGGAGTTTTTCAAGTGATTTTCCTTTTCTGTTCCTAGCCCTTCCTGCTTCTTTCAAGAGATGAGCTAGCCTTTTCTTCTCGTCGTCAAAATCTGGATTTGCCGTACCAAGCTTCTCTTCCTTCACCTTTAAGACATGCTCTAATATCTCAATTGCAGCTTCTACTCTGTAATAAATGAGAAGTTCAAGTTCAAAGGAAGAACTCAACTATATCAGCTTACACAGAACTCAAACATCTAAGCTATTTGGATCAAAAATGTTTTTGTATAAATAATAACTTGCCATCAAACGAGACAAAATTTATTGTAAATATTAAAGGTGAGATGGTCCCAAGTCCCCACTCGGACATAGATGTCCACCTAAATACTTCTGTATCAAATCAAATAACAGAGAAACCAAAGTATTTACAAAGCTTAAGAAATCTTTGTAGCTTAAATGGATGTCAAAGATGAGTTACCGTCCCATGGCATCATAAGTTGCTGCAAGGTTGCTATATACTCCAAGTGTATCGGGATGACAAAGGCCACACTCCTGCTCCAGTATCTCCTTTGCTTCTTCAAAAAGTTGAGCGGCCTCATCTAACTTGTACAACTGCACACTAGCCAACCCCATCTGGTTCAACACAACACCAAAGTAGGCGGATTTCCTCTCCCGGCTAGCCCGAAGCTTTGATAGAGCACTCTCAAAAGACCTCCAAGCCTCCCCATACCTCCCGACCATGTAGAAGATAACACCCATCTGTGCTTCTATTCCTGCGATAGTGCTCCTCTGTGCAGGTGTATCATCTAATGACTTCATTGCCTTCTGCAAGAGATTCAGTGCCTCCTCAGGCTCATTGACATCTTCATAGATGGCTGCGATTTCAGTCAAACCGCTAGCAAGTTCCTCAGATGTGATTCCAGGCGAAGGTTTTGCATATATCCTCAAAGCATTCTCACAGTAGGATTTAGACTCTCTTAACTTCCCTGTCTTGTAATACAGGTCAGCAAGGCGAATAAAGACTGATGCTACTGAAGGGTGATTTTCGCCCCTCATGCATTTCAAGACAGTAAGTGCCTTATGGTAGGAGAAAACAGCGTCATCAAAGCGGCAAAGAGACAAGTAAATATCGCCAAGGCCCATGTCAATAGTGGCAACCTCATTGTCCTGTCCATTGGCAATCATTATCATGCTTGCAAGGACAAGGTGCTCAAGTGCAGATTCGGAATCTCCTTTTGCCTCATAAATGAGAGCCATGAGGCGCCGGTCAGCAGCCTCTTCAACAGATGCAGGTGAGTTATGCTTCCTGCGAATTTCAAGCGTCTTCTTACAGTAGTGCTCTGCCTCATCAAATTGCATTACTTGGACATGTGCTTCTGCTAGGTACCTGCCATTTCCAATGTCATTTCACAAGCAAGGCAGTTATGTTTGTGTTTCCAGCAACTTTTTACGGTGCTTAAAATTCCAATTTTTTTGGTTTTGTTAAGAGAATTTTACATTGCATAGGCAAGTTCTAAGAGGATAAATCTATCAATACACATAACACAAAGAAATTTTTGCCCACATCCATAAGTTATCAACGCAATGTAAGTGGTTGATAGCCGTTGATTCATGCCACATCCTACACTATCGATCAATTGTTAGCAATCACCATTATCAACCTATGAGAAATGCTAAGAGCAGTCACCACGGGCGAGTGAACAACTCCACCGTAATACATGTACCAACGGTTGTGATTTGTTCAGACATGCCTCCATATGTATCAACCGCTGTGAGTCGCCCACTAGCGCACGTGGGAGACTGACCAAAGCACAATGTACATCCTACACTAATCAATTATTCAACAATGTTGTGAAATTAACATTGAAAAGCAAACATCCCAATGTACCAACCAAATAACAATACTTGGCTGCTAAAAATTCAACAGCGACTCTTGCTTTTATCCAATTAGATTTGGATATGTGTCCAAATAATTGAAATTGTAAACACAAATTGGACATATGTTCAAATTTGATTTGGCGAAAGCAGGAATAGCTGCTGAATTTTCAGCAGCCAAGTATTGTTCCTAACAAAATCCACCCAAATCATGTGGGCCCACAACTAATGGCGCAATGTAGCAGTTTACAGCATCACTAGCTAAAATGAGCCTGTAGAACTGAACAAACAGATAAAGAGAGAAGCTTTTCTTCACCTGCAAGTTTCTGCAACTCTCGAATCCGACTCACCCAGAGTCTCCTTTTGGATCTTCAAACCCGACCCGTAACATAAAATAGACTGCTCAAGCTGTCCCATCATCGAATACGTGTCACCCAGCTGCATGTACCCCGAGAACTTTGCTAGCGCATAGTCCGCTCCATTTTCCGGATCCGACACCTCAATGGACTGTTCCAAGACCCGCACCGCCTCCTCAAACCGGCCCAAATTACAAAATATTGCCGCCACGACGTGCAAGCTCATAGCCAGGTCAAGACCAGGACCCGAACACCGCTCAAATGACTTGGACGCTCGAATGGCGTAGTCCAAAGCCTTGTTCGGGTTCTCACCGGACCCGATAGTGTCCCGGGCGAGCTTCAGCAAAAAGGGACCCAGATCCGGGTTGTCGAGCGAGGTCTCGTCGATGGGTAGCTTCTCTGGGGCCCTTTTTATGGCGGGTCTGGTCCGTGCGGTCGTAAGTGATGGGGTTTTGGTGCCATTGGAGTGCTCTGTTCTGTGGGTCGGTTCGGGTACGAAAATAGGCGGCGAAGGTGCTCCAAGAAGCGAGCTTTTGGGTGAGACTAAGCCTGGCATGGCTGAAAAACTGAGATACCCAGAATCCAATTCGATAAATTCAAGCTGAAAATCGATATATTTCAAGTACCCACAACTTAATTTAGCAGAATTTTAACAAATGTGGAGAGAAATAGCTGCGGAAATGAAGAATTTCAATTGTGTTTCTGTTTCTGGATTACACAGAAGTAGGGATAAGGTGTAGGTGAAAACTTGAATTTGGTTCAGTGTTGCAGAGAGGAGAGAGAGTTAATGAGGGTAGGGATGTAGAGTTGCTTGGAAGAGACACCTAATGATGGACGAATTGGGGTTGGAGTGCTTTAATTTGGTGATCAGCTTTAAAACGAAAAAGGAGAAAGGGGACCAACGGAGATACGAAATCCATTGCAGTGTTTTCCTTGTTTTCTTTTTCTTCACTTCGTTCTGCGCTGTCTTTCTTTGCTTTGCTTCTTTTGTAATGTTCCTCTGCTCTGCTGACTGCAAGAGAGAGAGAGAGAGAGAGAGTTGGAGAAGGCCGAGCTTTGCAGCCACCAACCCCAACCTCCCCAACAACCGTAGCTTTGCAGCCACCAACCCCAACCTCCCTCACCATTCATGTCAGCTGCAAATGCTCACCGGCGGCAAAGATTTCTTTTGTTTTCATCGCTCTCTCGTCCTTTCTCTCGTCGGCAAAGTCGTATCAGGTTTCGTAATTGTCACTTTGCATCGTTTCATATCTCCGCCTTTCTCCTTGTCGTCGCGTCGTTTTCGATTTTAACTGTAGGAGCAATCGATTATATATCCTCCTTGCAGAGATCACGATGTAGTGCGGGGTCGAAAGAGAGAACAAGGACAAGGAGTGACAGATAGAGAATGGAAAGGAAGCATAGCCTGCGGAGAAGTGACGGTGGCGATAGGCTCGTATGGTTGTCGGAATTGTATTTCACTCTTGGTGTCTGTAAATCTTTTTTTCATAGTGTTTTAATTAATTTTATGAAAAGTTAATGGATTAAGTACTTAAAACTTAATAAATTGTCATTCCAAATTAGTTTCAATTTTTTTACACATTTCAACTAAGTATTCAATGTTATGCTTCGATCCCGACATATGTCTAAGATCGACATGTGATGACACCAAATTTCTGTTTATCTATCATGTTTAGCCTTCGAGATATGACCAAAACACAATCAATGATTTAACCACACATTCATTTCCATTTATTTCGTGGCTGCGTCTAACCTTAGCGTTAAACTGCCTACGTACCCTAAGAAAGGATCAAGTCATTCATAGTTCACCATTCACCACACTTCGACATTTATTACAATACGTTCAAGCAGAAAAACATAGCATTCCTCAATCAATTATTAGAACTTGACAAGCATGAAATTACTAGGTTTAGGGCTACATAACAAACTCACATGACATTCAAGATTTCCATTCCATCCATCATATAAGTCACTATGTTTTCAACATGACACCTCAATCCACAACATGTAACATATCAAAGAACCAACGAAGCACAATATTATTATCAAGCCACATTGATCAACTAATCTAATCATAATAATAACAATCATATCCAACATCATTCCACAATCATGTCAATTAATCAATTCCATGAATCAAAGATGCACGATATTAACATCTAACTACGTTAATCAATCAATGAAATAACATATCATTTCACGAATTTAATTAAAGAACTCTACATAATTCCCTAATTGGATTATAAGTAATAACATGGTAAATCTAATTTATATTCACAAGGTCTATTGTGGTTAATCCCCATTCACTCGAATCTAGGGTTCTAGACTAACTTTATGGAAATGAGGAAGAACAAGGATTCTAGACCACTCAACGGAATCCAACTAAAATATGGCACCTACCAAAATGTTCCAAGTAAAACTAATCCTCATCACCCCTAGAATGTGTATGGTCCCCGATTGTGGATATACCAATTAGCACCCTCCATGTACCACTACTACATGGTGCAGTATGTTCAACACACAGCCTACCCCTACCTCAACCCATATGAGTTAACACGTAGGCATCTGCACTATCAACTTCTCATGGCCACTAACTAACATGTCACACAAGCATATAAGTTCTATAGAATACTTCTAAAAGGATTCTACACTCACATTGTCGTAGTAGTTATCTTACATGTCATTCATATCATCAAGAAGATAAATACACATATATATTGCAACAAGGCATCACATACACATAAATCGAGGTATATATTATCTGAGATAGCTCACTAACCAATATAGACCCACTAAGCCCTACTTAGTCTCTAGTAATACTAATTTTAGTATTTAAGAACGAATAAGAACACTTTGAGCAAAACCAACCCTAGTAAATCAATCAGGAAGATCCACCCATCGGATTTTCAATCTGTAAGTTCCTAAGGTCCTCAAATAATATGTACAAGTCCATACTAAAATATGGTGACGATCTAACGGTCGGTTCATCGTTTACTATAAAGGCCAAAGGGCGGCAATCTACGAAACTAGGCTTAAACAACGAAATCACAACAAACAACTGTCAAAATTGAATTCAGAATATTGAATTTAGCATAGAAAGACGAAGTTGGCCCATTGACCATGCGCCGCCGTATACGGCGATCTCCGACGAACAGAAACCCAATTTTCCGACTAACTCCAAAAATTACCTAATTTTACAGAATTGTAGAATACAACAAGGGAAAAGCTTTCATACCTGGGCCAAAGTCCAATTCGGCTAGGGAGTGGCCTGAAACTGCCTCGATCTGCTAGAAACACTAGAATGGGTGATCGTCAAATCGACGTCATCTGGACTCCGATGCCTCGAATCATGGGTGGGTCTTGCTCCTGAGTTCGAGGAGAGACAAGTGGAGGTGGTAGTGAGCATCGGGAAAAGCCAGAACGACGAGATCGCCGTCATGAGTGTCGGAGAAGACGATGTTCATTCGTCGTGAAATCGTAGTAAGCAAAAGCCATTAAGTTTGGGTGGAAATGGAAGCTAGGATGACGCCGAGTTAATTAATGGTGGTGGTTCCCGGTGATTCGCTGGAGAAATGTCGTGAAAGGTGTTAAGCACCTATTTTACTACTTATTTTACACCGAAAGCTACATTTTCTTATGATGTATTTGATTTAAATGAAAGGAATTACATGGTTTTGTGTTCTCTAGCTAGATTAACAAGATGAAAAAAATTATATTGGATCTCATTGGTTATTATAGAATTAACTGCGTCAAGTATGATTCTTTCTCAATATTTTGTTTAAGTAAATTGACCATGTGTGCTTCCAGCATGTTTAAGATGATCATATGCTTTTCTTTTTGGGTTTCATAATAATATATCTATATCATTTAAATGTTATGCAGATGATAAAGTAAAGCATGTGCCATTATCCTTTCAATTGTACGGACATAAGAAATAAAAGGGGTTGTATTTGTCTCTACCAAGGGTTAGCCGCACCAAATTAGAAGAAAGGTCACCTACTGAAATCAGCTACCAATGCGTGGGTCTTCGACAAGATCATAAATTTGGATATATGGCTGCTCAGTTTGTTTGATTGGTGAGGAGTTTGACTGTGCATATAACTGAAGAAGGCAACAGAGTGGAGTGAAGGCGTTATTAAATTGAGAAATCAATGGAGGCGTTTAATCATACATAGTGGCTGGCAAAAAGTTTCATCCTTTTGTTTTCTCTTTTATTGTCCACAATAAATGGGCTATAAATGTTCGGTTACGAAAAAGGAATGAAACAAAAAGGGAAGGCATAGCAAAAAGGAGAATAAGGTAGTGCGGCAAAGCAAAGAATTTTTTTTTAGGCTTTGCTAAACTTAGTTTTCTTTTTATGAATTCAATAATATTTTTGATTATGTTTCAGAACTAATTTCTATTCGCTAGGGCTACGATGTAGCCTAATTATGAATTCTTAATTTTTCAGTTTAATTGTTAATGAATTTTCATTCAATTTGAGTATCATTTTGCTGCGCTTATGTGCTTGATTTTAATCTTGGTGATTGGCCACCACTTTGGTTTGAGTTGAGTGTAATGTGATGCGAGTTAACTTAGATGCCATGTTGTTAATTCAGTTTTAGCATCTTGCAAATGGTACCAGTGAATTCCTTGATGTAGATGCCATACACTAGGTTTCACACGGTCTCTTAAGTAGTTCTCAAATCGTTAATGAACTCGTGTGTGTTTAGTAATCTAGATGCCATAGATTGTTAGCACATATGAGTATACATAGTAATCTAGATGTCATGGATACTATATGAATTAGAGGAACTAAACTATCAATTTGAATGATTAATCATTAATAATTAACTGTAGGAATTGAGTTGGATTGGTTATGGTGAATCAAATGCTCTAGTGTTTTTCACAATTGATTTATAATTTGATTTCATTGTTGTTCTTGTCATTTATTTAAGCTCATTTGATTTTTGTTTACGTTTACAATTTCAAAGTTCTTTCTCAAATCATCAATTTTTCCATTTCAGTTCAAGTGCAATACAAATTAAGTTAGATAATTAGAATTATTTCAATCTTAGCTGGAATGATCTTGTGCTTGCCTACTATACTACTTTACGATTCGTACACTTGTGAGCATTAAAATTTGGACTTAATTGGGTTGACTTCGGTTAATCTAATTTTGGCAACATAAGGCATTAGAATTTTCTGGCAGAACTGGGTTGGGTGGTCTCTCTCACTCTCTCATTTTCCTCCTTTCCCTCCTTCTGATTAGTCCCTCTCTCTCTCTCCCTCATTTCTCTCTTTTTCTCCCTCTCTTCCACTGCCATCTGGCAAATTGACACACTCCGACCGAGATCAGGGCATGCTGGTTGTCACGTGGAAGTGACGTAACCATGTGCACAGTGCAGAAGCTAAGAAATAATAATAAAAGTACGAATAAATAAAAACCAAGCTATACATTGCGTAAATAACATACATGTGCAAGCGTAAGTGTGAAAAACAATGTTCAGAGCACGAAAGACCTAGTGTAGTCTGGAAGAAACAACACTAAATAAACACACCCCAAAGGTGGTCCTACACTGGTGATAATATGTCAGACATGCCGTGAATCCCTCGAGAGCCACCAACAGAGTTATCCAAACTAGAACCTGGAGGGGCGCAAAACAGAAAGTGTGAGTGGGCAAAAACAAAGCTTTTCAAAATCATTTCAATATAAAAAATACTAACCCCTCGCCGTAAAACCTGTATAGTTTCCCAGAAAATAGAATATGCATGCATATATAACTCATGCACAGAAATATGCCACGTCAAATGCCTCTGCATAGAAATGCAAGTACTCAGATAATGTCAAATCAATGCCATGAAATCTGTCAGCCGAAGTCACCTAACGTGACCTGTACGGCTGAATCTAGAGCTCAAATCTCCAACTCACTAACTATACCTGCACATGAGTCGGAACCACCTAAAGTAGTCTGTGCGACAGGACTGGGTGTAAATAAGTACGCTCAAGTGCTACGATCACGTGAAAACTGGGCGAATAATTGCGGGTCACCTACTAGTCAAAACCACCTATAGTGGTATGTATGATAGGACTGTGCACCTAACTTGGATCCAAGATAAGCGTGTGGTGCGGGATGTGAACATCACGTGAAGGACTGTGCCCTACTCTGGATGGGAGCACTAACACCGGGGGTGCAGGTTATGAGCTCTTATGCATCTCAAATTACTACTAAACATAGACATAAACCATAACTTACCTGTGCGTCCGCAACACCAAACATATATATATATATATATATATATATATATATATGCAGCTAATAATGCATAATTAAACGGGCAAACATAATGCATGGCATATAAAACATATAGACGCTTCATTTCACTTTCTGGGAAAAACACAAGTATATAGGTATATACGGAAAACCAAAAGCCCACTCACTGGTATGTAGAAGGGTCGTAACCCCCTTGCCTCG